GGCGCCGGCGTGTGCGGCGCCTGCTCGTGTGGCCATCCGGGTGTGTGCTGGGTGTCGAGCCGAGGTGCTGGGTCCGGCCGTGTGTATGTCCTCCCGAGTGGCTGTTCCTCCGGCTGTGTGTCTGGGGGCTGTCGCGCGCCCATCAGAGGGGCTGTGTGCAGGTGTGTGTGCGTGGGTTGTGTGCCCAGGTGTGGGTCGCCCCCAGCCAGTGTGTGCGCGCGGCTAGCTGCGTTGGGCGTTTGTGTCCGGGATGGATGTCCATCCGAGGGTCTGTGTGCCGGGTGTGCTTGCTCGTGTGTCCATTTGTGCGTGTGTGTGTGTGTGCGAGCATGTGTGTCTGCGGGTTGTATGTCTCCGAGGGTGTGTGTCTGTGCGACCACGTCAGGTTCCTGGCTGGGGGGCTGGGGCTCGGCGCCTTGTGGGTCCAGGCCTCTGTGTGGGTTTGGGGGAGGGGAGTTTGCCGCTCCCTCGGTCCATGTCAACTGGGTGGGGGGGTCCTCAGCGGTCCTTGGGGGAGACGGCCATGTCTTCCCCTTCCCGGTGGCTGAGTGGGGGGATGGGCGGCCGGTAGGTGGACAGATGGAAGGATGAGAGGCCGAGGGATGGACAGATGGGCCCGAGGGGAGGCACGCAGACCCCCCTCCCCCACACCCACCCAGCCCCAATGGCCCCACCGGTCAGATCTCGCAGATGGGCCAGAGTTGCCTGCCTCCGGTGGCCAAGCTGGGGCATCTTCCGGCTGCTAGTGGGAGGATCGCCTTGGTGGGGGTCTTTAGGACAGCCCCCCAACCCTGCTGAACTCTGATCTCTGGCCCTGGCTTGTGCTCTGGTGTGGGGAGGGGGTATGGTGGGAAGGAGGGACGTTCGGATTTCTTTGGCCTGCGAAGTAGGTGGGGCGAGTGTGCCTCAGGGCTGAGAGGGATGTGTGTCCATGCCTGTGGTGAGTGTGAATCTGCCTGTCTGTTGACTGTGTCACTGGGGTTCAGTATTTTGTGTGCATTTGTAGGAGTGTAAATCCCTTGCAGGGCTGTTGTGAGAGCATGTGTCTGGGAGTGAGCATCGCAGAGTGTCTGTGCAAAGGTGGATCTTTCGGTGCCTGTGTGGTTGTCTGAGTGTGTATCAGCCTTGTAAGTGTCTGTGTATGCTTGTGGTTCTGCGTATGTGTGTGAGGCGTGCATTGGCTAGTGTGTGTATTTGTTTGTCTGTTGGTGTAGGAATGTGGCAGTTTTGTGACCGTGCATCGTAGGGATATGTGAAGTTGTCTGAGTGTGTTTGGGCATTTAAGAGCATGCACCTGTGTATATTTGATTGTGCAAGTGAGTATCTGTATGTATGTTCCATGTTGGTAGGTGTGCAAGGGTATATCTGTTATAGGTGCATGTACTTGGTTGTCTGTAAGGGGCACAAGGGTTTGTTGTATGTTTGCATGTGTGTGTGTGTGTGAGAATGTGCAACAAAAAGTCAATGTCGTACACGTGTGGTTGTGCAGGTGTGTCACCCTTGAGGGTTCGTGTCTATGTTGTGCGTCCATTGATGCATTAGTGTTGGTCTCTCGGAAGTGGTCTCAGAGATGGTGGGACACCCACATATGTTCAAACTCATATGTGCAAGGTTATATGCACAGACATACCTGTGTCCCCAGCACAAGGCTAACCCTACTTCTGGGCCCAGTGAAATTGAGGCCCATGTGGCGTGACCTGTGGTATGCTGGGGTCCAGCCTGGGGTCCATGGACACAAGTGTGTCCACATTCCAGGCCTAGAGCCAATGGAGAATGGGGGCACAGAGACCATCATGCTGGTGTGTCCATGGAAATCCAGGTGTAGAGGCTTGGGTTGTGGGTCCACGTGTGTTTTGGCATGTCCACACATGTTGGTATGACAGTAGTGTGATGGCGAGCATGGGAACGTCTGGCCCTTCCCCAGCCCCCAGTACTGCTCAGGTCTTTGAAGCAGGGGCACTGGGATGTGAAGTGTGGAAGGAGGAGGCTGGGTGCCTAGAATCCTGGATCTGAAGGAGAAGGAGGCTGGGTGGGGCCCGATTCTTGGATCTTGAGTCTGAGGGAGGAGGAGGGTAGGGTCCCAGGGTCTTGAGGGATGGGGGTGTGGGCTGGGGTCACTGGCTTCTTGAGACCCCAGAGGACAAAAGGCTAAAGCCATGGACTCGTGGGTTTCGGAGGGTGATCAGTCCTGATGCCCAGACTCCTTGGTTTCCAGAGATGACTTCCTGGGTCCATCTGAGATTATGCACAGCCTGCAGCAGGAGGACTGAGAGTGTGGTCACACCAGGGACTTCTTTGGCTGAGATGGTCTCTGAGGCAGGTCTCCAGAGAGGAGCCAGAAGGATGCTAATAGAATCATCTTGTTCCTTTGCAGGTACTGGCCCAGGCCCTGACTCCCTGAAGAGAGGTGAGTGTGGTCCCTCAGGCTGGGGGGAGAGATGTAGTCTGGATTTCAGTGCAGGGTAGGACAGTGTCCTGAGGGGCCAGGTGCCTCCCAGGCAGGGGGGTGGTGACAAAGTCATGAGCATCATGTTTGGGTAAGGGCTCGTAGTAAAGCTGGGACATAGGTGACAGGTGGGGGGGGGTCTCAGGCCTGGAGGGCTTCTCTTGGGATGGGTGAGGTGGTCGGGAAAGGGGAATTTCCTCATGATGTCGGTAAAGGGCACAAAAGTTTCATGACGTGAAATGACCCCTGCATTTGGAGAGCGATGCGGCTCTGGTTTAGCATTTTGTGTGTGTGTGTGTGCGTGTATGCGGGAAGATCTCCTGATAGTCTAGCCTGCCGGTGGCTGAGAGAGGGCCAGAGAAAAAAAATAAATGAATAATAATAACAGCAGCTGACATTTATGTCGTGTTTGCTCTGTCAGGAACTAATCTAATCCCGTTACAGTGCATTATCTTATTTAATACTTACAACAACTCTCTGAGGTAGGTGCTCTCATTATCCCCATTTCACAGAGGAGCACACTGAGGCACAAAGAGCGGAAGTCAGTTGACTCGAATCACATAGCAGGCAATCAGGGTGTGAACCTGGGCGGTCGGGTCCAGATTCTGTCCCGCAATGCTGCACTGCCTCTCAATAAATGTCAGCTGTTTTTATTGCTATTATCATTCCATCATCTCGAGTCCACCCCAGCTGTGGGAGGGGAAGCGCTGTACTCCTGTTCCACAGAGTGGGGTTCTGAGCCCCAGAGGCCCCACAGCCAGGCAGGTGCAGAGCTGGGCCTCCTAACTTAGGAGTTCCGCCTTCCAGGCCAGGATTTTGGGTCCAACACAGTGTCCCAGAGGGAGTGCCAGACAAAGTAGTGGGTGGGCCTCGGCGGTGGTGACCTGAGCCTGCTTCTTGTTTTTGTTTCTCTTCAGCCCAGTCACTGTCTCCCTCAGTCTCTGTCTCTGTCTCTGCCTCTGCCTGTCTTTCTCTCTCTCTCTCTCTCTGCCTCTGTCTCTGTTTCTCTCTCTCTCTCTCTCTGAATCTGTCTTTTTCTGTCAGTCCATCTCTCCATTCCTCTGGTCTCTCCCTGTTTCTTTCCCACCCTCTCTTGGTTCTGCCTCTCCAGGTCCAGACTTCCTCTCCCCTCAGGCTGAAGGATCAGGGCCATGTCAGGCCACGGTCCTGAACTGCAGATCCCCGGGAGGTGGGCCAGAAGGGACTGGGGTGCAGGGTGGGGTGAAAACAGTTTCAGGGACGCCCCCTTCCCATCCTTTCCTCTTCACCCCCCACCCCCACCCCATGTTGTGATGGAAGCTGACATGTCGTGGGCTGCAGCTGCCGCAGGGGGAATCCCCGCCGGAAGGTTTTGCCTGGAGCAGAGGCATAGCGGGAGTGTATGAGTGTGTGTGAGTGAGCGAGTGAGTGAGTGTGTGTGCGTAGGCATGTATGGGGCCTTGTGCGTGCCCATGGATGCGAGCACAGAAGTCGACGCCTGCTTAAGACCTCAGGAGAGCCCAGGATGGAACCAGACTTAGAGAAGGACTTCTCAGGGCTGGGCAGGGAGACCAATGTGGTTTTCTCAGCCCCTCCCACCTTCAGACCCCCTTTGCCTCTGATAAAGGGTGTGTGTTTGTTATTTTTAACATTTATTGAGTATTTACTGTGTTCTAGGCCCTGTGCTCTGGAGCCCCCATGAATGAGCTCACTGAACCCTTGAAACAACCCAGTGAAAATGGTACAATTATCACCCCATTTTACAAAACAGGAAATGATGGCCTAGATAGGGGAACTCATTGGTTTGGGGCCACAGAGCTAGCAAGTGAGGGAGCCAGGACTTGAACTTGAGTCCGTTTGATCTCAAAGGACTTGTTCTTAAAAATAGTGCACACTCCTATGCCTGGCTCATAATGGGCACTCGATGATGATGCTAATAATGATTATTAACATGTATTGAACACATTTTATGTGCTAGGCACTGTTCTAAGTAGTACATCATGCTCATTAATCTATTTAATCCTCACAGAGTTAAGGCCTGTTTTTATCTCCATTTTACAGATGAAGAAACCGAGATTCAGAGAGGTTCAGACGCTTGCCCGAGGTCACACAGCTAGTAAGTGTCAGAGCTGGAATTTAAACCTAGGGAGTATGGCTTTGAAATCCATGACCTTAAACCCTAGTCAGCTGTGATTTTTCAAAATGGTTAGTGGGTACTGGGAGGCCCAGGCTGGGCCAGGTGTCATCAGAGGTTGGGAGGTCATCAGAGGTCTGGGAGCTCCTAGAGAAGGGGCACGGGTCGGTTAGGACACTCAGCAGGTCTGGCAGTGGTAATTTACCAACCAGCATGGAAACAGTGTTATCTATTCAAACAAGTGCATACCAGCTGATGATCGGTCCGTCACTGCCCTATGGGACTTGGTTGTCAGGAAGGGAGGGACCCGGGTCAGACTCCTAGCGGGGCATCCCAGGGCGGGCAGGCTGGCAGTCAAGCTCTCTGCCCGGATAACCCTCTTCTTCTGCAGGTCTCACTGCCCACTCCTCCCACCTTCCCACTGCGCCATGGCTCCGGGCCCCTTCTCCTCGGTGCTGCTCTCGCCACCACCTGCTGCCCTGTCCTTTCTGCTGCTACTCTGGGCGGGGGCGTCTCGTGGCCAGCCCTGTCCTGGCCGCTGCATCTGCCAGAACGTGGCGCCCACGCTGACGATGCTGTGCGCCAAGACCGGCTTGCTCTTCGTGCCGCCAGCCATCGACCGGCGCGTGGTGGAGCTGCGGCTCACCGACAACTTCATCGCGGCCGTTCGTCGCCGAGATTTCGCCAACATGACCAGCCTGGTGCACCTCACCCTCTCCCGTAACACAATCGGCCAGGTGGCAGCCGGCGCCTTTGCTGACCTCCGCGCCCTCCGCGCCTTGCACCTCGACAGCAACCGCCTGGCCGAGGTACGCGGCGACCAGCTTCGCGGCTTGGGCAACCTCCGCCACCTGATCCTCGGCAACAACCAGATCCGCCGGGTGGAGTCGGCGGCCTTTGACGCCTTCCTGTCTACCGTAGAGGACCTGGATCTGTCCTACAACAACCTTGAGGCCCTGCCCTGGGAGGCCGTAGGCCAGATGGTGAACCTGAACACCCTCACGCTGGACCACAATCTCATCGACCACATCGCCGAAGGTACTTTCGTGCAGCTTCACAAACTGGTTCGCTTAGACATGACCTCTAACCGCCTCCACAAACTGCCCCCTGATGGGCTCTTCTTGAGGTCCCAAGGCCCTGGGCCGAAGCCACCCACGCCGCTCACGGTCAGCTTCGGTGGCAACCCCCTGCACTGCAACTGCGAGCTGCTCTGGCTGCGGCGGCTGACCAGAGAGGATGACCTGGAGACATGCGCCACGCCTGAGCACCTCACCGACCGCTACTTCTGGTCCATCCCTGAGGAGGAGTTCCTGTGCGAACCCCCGCTGATCACACGGCAGGCGGGGGGCCGCGCGCTGGTGGTGGAGGGCCAGGCGGTCAGCCTACGGTGCCGGGCCGTGGGCGACCCCGAGCCGGTGGTGCATTGGGTGGCACCCGACGGGCGATTGCTTGGGAACTCGAGCCGGACCCGGGTCCGGGGGGATGGGACGCTGGATGTAACCATCACCACCTTGCGGGACAGTGGCACCTTCACTTGCATTGCCTCCAATGCCGCGGGGGAAGCCACGGCGCCGGTGGAAGTGTGCGTGGTGCCTCTGCCCCTGATGGCGCCTCCGCCTGCCGCCCCGCCACCTCTCACAGAGCCTGGCTCCTCTGACATCGCCACACCCGGCCGACCTGGTGCCAACGAATCGGCCGCTGAGCGCCGGCTGGTGGCAGCTGAGCTCACCTCCAACTCCGTGCTCATCCGCTGGCCGGCGCAGAGGCCCATTCCTGGCATCCGCATGTACCAGGTCCAGTACAACAGCTCTGCCGACGACTCCCTCGTGTACAGGTGGGTGCTGCCGGCCCAGAAGCTCCTCCCACCGCAGTGGCCTGACCCCCTATCTGCTCCCTCCCTTGGCCTTCTTGCTTAACCGAGGTTCTAGATGGCTATGCAGAGTTGCCCTATCTCCTCCTCTCTCTATTTCTGTCTCACTGTCTCTTTCTGTTTTTTATGCATTTTGCAAATCTTCGCTGAGCACCCACATGAGCCAGACCAGGGCTGGACACTGGAGTTATAACAGTGACTGTGCCCAGCATGAGCCTTACTCCCATGGGGCTCATGGTCCACATCTCTGCTCGCCAAAGGATTTTGACTGTGTACCTTGTCAGTTAAACATTTTGGAGCATGAAATATATACACACGCACATATATTTATAGTTACATTTATTTTTATAAATTATATACCAGTGCTACTATATTAACACATTGGGTACATTATAGAACAGAAAACTAAAGGATCAAAAAAATATGTAAATGTTATTTCCCCCCATCCACTGGATTAGAAGCCATTGCCCAGGTGTGGACAGACCTGTATGGTGTAGACAGACATTAAAGAGTTACTTTCCTCCATCATCTCTCTTATTCTCTTGCTCTCATCTCTGGCTTTGTCTGTCTGCTTCTTCTCTCCCTCCTGCTTTCGTTAGGTATTGAGCCCCTGCTCTGTGCTGGGCCCTGAGCCAGGCACTGGGGACACAGGGAGACCAAGAGACCAGTCCCTGCCTTCAGGGAGCTCACAGCCCAAAGGGAGGGGCAGTCAGTACACGCTGAATTATTGCCTTGGCCTTGCAGTGTTCTCCATCTTGGTAGCTTTCTAACTATGGTTCATAGCCATACACCTGGCACACAGGGCACTTGATAAATGGTTGTTGGTTCTGTGACTGTCTCTTCTTCTTGGCTCTGCCTCCATCATGCACATTGTAGAGCGCCTGCCGAATGCTTAATCCTGTGTTTAACTTCACTTGAGAATGCCAGAGGGCATAAAGCCATTTTTAGGAGCCCCAGCTCTTGGGGTGCTCAGACCTGCACCAAGGCCTCCATCTTTACCCTTCCCAGTGTTCTCTTGGCCACAGTCCTGGTACACAGTAGGTGCTTTGCCATTGTTGGGTGAATGAGTAAATCCCTTGTCTCTTTTCCCTTGTCTCTGCCATCCTCATTTTCTTCTCATTTAGAATCTGGTCACCAAACACTGAATAGGTGCCTACTACATGCCAGACTTCATCCTGAGCCCTGGGCTGGCTTAGATAGATGAGACACCGGCCCAGTTTACAAACATTAGGTCAAATCAATGAACAAAACAAAAACCTTTATAAGGTACTACTGAGGATGCTATCTCATTCCATCTTCCCAACTCTGCATGAAGCAGCAGTGATTTTCCCCCTCCTGTTTTATGGACAGGGAAACTGAGGCTCAGTGCTGGGAAGTCACTTGTTCAAGGTTATACAGAAAGTGGCAGAGCCAGGATTCCAGCTCTTACCCTTCTTATTCCTAATCCTAACTTTTTTACGTTGAATACATTTATCGAGCACCAACTGTTTGCCAGGCAGGGATTAGGGGAGATTGATAATATATTTCTGGGAATAACTCTTGGTTTGTGACTCTCCACCTCTGTTTCTCTCTTTCTTTTTCTCTCTAACCCAAGGCCCCTACATGGTGGGGTGGGGGAGGTTTGCAGAGCCCCAGACCTTGCATGTATGCAGAGGTTGATAGTCTTCTGTCGCTAGCTGGGCAACAGACCCTGGGCCTTTTCCCTTCCCCTTAGGGGCACGGTTTGTCCTCCCTCCCCTATTGCAGATATCTGTGCTGTGGTGCTGTAGGGGTTAATTTCCTCACTGCTGCCATGGGCAGAGGCAACATCCAACCAGAAGCCTACTCTGCTGCTTGCTTGTGTCTTGCAGCCAATTAGAGACACATGGGCTCAAGCTTTCTTAAGGAGCCAGCCTCTGTCCTTGAAAATGGAGGACCCCCTAGTAACTGGTTATTTTGGGGGAAGGAGCAAGAGGAATTTAAGGCTCTCTGAGAGTGGAGATAAGAGGAAGAGGAAGAAGAAGACTTATAGCCTGGGGCCCAAGGTTGGGGATGAGGGCCATGGTCTGTGAAATGGCAGGCAGGGGGGAGAGCTGGAGAAGTGGCCGGGCTTTAATGAGGAGGTGGGGCCCTGACTTGAAGTCTTTTGGTTAGAAGGTGGCTCTTGGTGGTGGGAACCTCCAAGGAGGAGGGAGAACTGAGGTGGGCTTTAGGACCAGAAGGGGGCCTGGCTGGAGGGAAGGTGAAATTTCTGAGAGAGGTAAGAGGCCTGTGGAGATGGGGACATGGCCTCTCAGGGGAGGTGGAGCTCCTGTTGCATGGTCCCATGCAGATGAGGAGGTGATCCTTGTCTCTAGTGACCCATTAAGAGCTTTGTAGGAGGGGAGAGCTTGTGAGGTTGAGTGCTGTTGCAAATCCATGTGGATGTGGCTGTCCCCAAGGCTGGACACGGCCAACAGCATAGAAGGGATTTGCTCAACAGTAGAGGGCCAAGGTGTAGTTGAATGGTCTTATAGATGGGGTGGGGTACAACTGGCAGTAGAGTGTGAGCCGCAGCAAAGGTTACTGGCCAACATCAGGCGGGATGCAAGCTAATAATGATGAAATTATTAAGTGCCAGACTTTGGGTATGTTAACTCCTTCATACTCCAAACCATGGTGTAGGAATTCTTAATATCCCCATTTGGGAGAAATGCACAGAGTGGCTATGAAACTTACCTAAGGTCACAGAGCTATCAAGTGGTAGGTAGAGGAAAGACTGAAACCCAGGCAGTCTGGCTCCCAGTCTTTGTCAGCTTAACTGTTTCTCTAGAGCAAGAAAGGGAATTGCTTGCTTGGCTATATTTGACCCAATTATGGATGAGACTTAACCTGGGGGTGTGATTTGGTAACTTCCGATGTATATGTATAGGGCAGGGCATACACATAGAGTGTTTTCAGGACATGTAAAGAGTGGATACTCCTAGGCACAGTAAGGGAATCATCCCCAGGGCGCTATTATGGGGTGTGGCCTGGAAGCTACTGGTCAGTCAGAACGGGAGTGGTTTGTAGCCGTGGCCTCTTCGTACGCAGGAATATGTAGTTGAGGGGCTTGGAAATTGTGTCAGAAGATAGATGCAGCTAGATGTATTTACCCAAAGGTGGGATATGCAGATGAGGCGAGTGGCCTTTATCAAGGTCTCCCTGAGAGGGCAGGAATATGTAAAAAAGAGAAACTAGAAGAGCATCCATTGTCCCAGTAGGAGTAAGACAGAGGTGGGGGTGTGGGTTGACCTCAGTGTTCCCTTGTGTGAGGGTAGGGCATGCAGATAAGGAGGAGAGTGGCCCCTTAAAGGGTAGAAATACAGAGATAAAAGACCTTGAATGTCAATTCAATAATTTTTAATAAGAGTAAGACACTGTTAGGGGCGTGTCCCTTGAGGGCCGGGCATAAAAGCTATAGCACTCCTCCCATGCAAGGGCTAGGACACGTAGATGAAGTAACAGGAATGGCAGACATTGGCCTAGTAGGCAGTTGAGACTCAGATAGGGGGTGGGTCTGAGGGCGGAGCATGCAGATGAGGGGCGTGGCCTGTAGCTGTGGTCCTGAGAGGTTGGAAATTTGTTGCTTGAATGACTGCTGCTGTCCCATTAGAAGGGGAGATATCGGTAGGGACTCATAGTGTGGTTCTCACCGGTCACCAAGGGTGGGACTTGCAAGTGAAGCAGCATGGTTCAGAGTGGAACTAACCCCGAGCTGATCCCTCCCCCTCCTGCAGGATGATCCCCTCCACCAGCCAGACCTTCCTGGTGAATGATCTGGCGGCGGGCCGCGCCTACGACCTATGCGTGCTAGCCGTCTACGACGACGGAGCCACGGCACTGCCAGCCACGCGAGTGGTGGGCTGCGTGCAGTTTACCACGGCTGGGGATCCGGCGCCCTGCCGCCCGCTAAGAGCCCACTTCTTGGGTGGCACCATGATCATCGCCATTGGGGGTGTCATCGTCGCCTCGGTCCTCGTCTTCATCGTTCTGCTCATGATCCGCTACAAGGTCTATGGCGACGGGGATGGCCGCCGCGCCAAGGGTACCTCCAGGTCGCCCCCGCGGGTCAGCCACGTGTGCTCGCAGACTAACGGCGCAGGTGCGCCGCAGGCTCCGCCCCTGCTGGCGCAGGACCGCTACGAAGCGCTGCGCGAGGTGGCTTCCCCCGCTGCTGCGGCGGTGGCCGTCGAAGCGAAGGCCACGGCGGCTGAGACGGCTTCTGCGGAGCCGGAGGTGGTCCTTGGACGCTCCCTGGGCGGCTCGGCCACATCGCTGTGCCTGCTACCTTCTGAAGAAACCTCCGGGGAGGAGTCGCGGGCCATGGCGGGCCCTCGGAGGAGCCGTTCTGGGGCCCTGGGGCCACCAGCTTCGGCGCCCCCAACTCTAGCTCTCGTTCCTGGGGGGGCCCCGGCCCGGCCGAGGCCGCAGCAGCGCTATTCGTTCGACGGGGACTACGGGGCACTCTTCCAGAGCCACAGTTACCCGCGCCGCGCCCGGCGGACAAAGCGCCACCGGTCCACGCCACACCTGGACGGGGCCGGAGGGGGCGCGGCCGGGGAGGATGGAGACCTGGGGCTGAGTTCGGCCAGGGCGCGCCTGGCCTTTACCAGCACCGAGTGGATGCTGGAGAGTACCGTGTGAGCGGCGGGCGGGCGCCGGGACGCCTGGGTGTCGCGGGACAAACGCCCAGCTGCCGGGTCGCTGGGGCAGGACTCGGGGGAGAAAGCATAGCGCCAAGTCGTGGACTGGCGGGGAGACGCGCCCTTCTCTCCCCAGAGAGGGCGGGGCACCCTCAGGCTGTGGTTAGAGGCCTTCTTGCCCCGCCCCGCACCCCGCGCCCCGGGGGTTTAGGGGGGCAGGCCGCCGGGCTCTCCTCCCCCACGGACTCCTCGCCCCACTCCTGCTCCTCCCCCCTGCGCGCTCGCGGACCTCGCTGGAGCCGGTGCCTTACACAGCGAAGCGCGGGGAGGGGCAGGGCCCCCCCGACACTGCAGCACTGAGACACGAGCCCCCTTTCCCCCGCCTGGGACCTGGGGCAGGGGCGAGGGGCCCATTTCTTGTATCTGGCTGGACTAGATCCTATTCTGTCCCGCGGCGGCTTCCAAAGCCCCCACCCCCACCCCATTCACCTCCCTGGTCCCATTGGGTCTGGCTTGGGGTACCCCTTTCTCTGTTACCTTCGTTTGTCTCTGTCCCACTCTGTCTTAACGTCTCTGCCCTTGCCTATTTGTCTCTCCTTTCTCTGTCCTGTCGTCTCTTCTCCCTCTGACCTCCCATATTTTGTCAAGTCTCCCTGTCTCTCCTGGTTACCTCTTCCCACTAAACATTCTCCCGGGCAGGTCCCACTGGAAGGACCAGACTCTCTCCTATTCCTTCCTCTTTCCCCAGATAAATCCCCACATGAACAAAATCCAAAACCAAGTCCTCCTCCCTACCGGAGCCGGGACCCTCCGTCGCAGCAGAATTAAACTTTTTTCTGTGTCTGAGGCCCCTCTGCTGACCTCTGTGTGTGTACTTGTGTCTTGGGAGTGGGTGGTGGTGACCCAGATTACAGCCTGTGGACTAAGTGAGACTGAAGGAAGGCTGGCTCACTGTGATCAGGGATCAGGGGACTGGCAGACAATTTCCTATCTTGTGAGAGACTTAGAGGTAGGGAATAATAACCATAACATGATAATAGCTAACAGTGAGTGCTTACTATGTGCCAAGCACTTAAGTCATTTAATCCTTACAGCAACCCTAGGACATAGTACCGTTATGCTGTTTTACAGATAAAGAATGAGGAAATTGATGCCCAGAAATGTTAAATAAGTTGCACAAGGTCTCATAACCAGATGGTGGCAAAATCAAGATTTAAAAAGGCAGGCAGCCTGATTCTTGAGTCTGTATTCTTAACCACAGAACTCTACTGCTGAACAGTTAATGAAGGTTTATTCCACACATAGACATTGTGCTAAGCAAAGCTCATCTCTCTGAAGTTGGACAACTGTCCTAAGGGATATTATCTTTGGTTCTATTTTACAGACAGGAATCTGAACCAGAGAGATGTGAAGTCACTTGCCCAAAGACCCCTGATCAAGAAATAGTGGAGCTGATAGTTTGATCTCAGTATCTGTTTCTTATCACTATACAGTGTTTCCTCTGATGCCAGGAGGCTGGAGAATGACCCTAATGACCTTAGCCGAGCATGGGTATCCAAAGCCAGCCTGATGAGGGAGGGGAGGAGAGCAAGAGCTCATTGATTACTGTCCGGAATCTGAGGGAGAAGGGGTCTGCTGGGGGCACAGGATGGTGTGGGGTGGGGAGTTTTCTCAGGTGAAACAGGGTTGTGAGTGGGGAAGGGAAGTTGGTTGGGGCGGGGGGTACCACAGTCTTTGTTGGGGGGCCCTGCAGTGAAAACTCCTTCCTGATCCTGGGGAAGAAGGAAGAAGGCTTCATGCCAGCCAGGGGCCCCCTGAGGCCTGGGAGGAGGAGAGAAAGACAGAAATAGAAACAGAACAGGAGGGAGGGGGATGGATCTGGGCAGACAGGGTGGGAGGCAGCAAGGACAGAAGTACCAGAGGATCCTAGACCAGGAGGCTCCCTCACCCAGTGACCTAGCCACGTTTATCTAAGTCATCGTGACCCCTAGAGACTGAGGGCTTCCACACACCAGGCACTGTGCTCACAAACCCTGATGCATGAATAGAGAGCATGCCACCCAGCTCCAGGCACATAATGCTCTCATAAAATGGAGTAACTAGGGTGGTAAACATGATTACATTTTTACTTCACAACATACATGTAGTATGTGCACCCACTTTTCCAGCTGAGGAAACAGTTCAGAGAGGTTAAGGAGCTTGCTCAAGATCATACAGCTAGTAAACGACAGAGCTGTGATTGGAAAGTTTACTGCCTTTAAATCCTGCACACATAACCATCTGACTATACTGTCTCTGAGATACCTGACAAAGCTTTATTGAACAGGCACCGTGTACCTGGCTCTGTGCAGGGGCTACAGCACTGAACAAAACGATGAAAAAATGAAACAAAAAAAACCCTGCCCCTGGAGCTTATATTCTAGAAGGAGGAGACAGTAAACAAGTAAGTAAATATGTAATGAATGCCTGGTGGTAAGTGCGTTCGTGAAATAAATGAAAACAGTATGCGAGGACACTGAGAGGCCTACATTAGGTAAGTAAATATGTAATGAATGCCTGGTGGTAAGTGTGTTCGTGAAATGAATGAAAACAGTATGCGAGGACACCGAGAAGCCTACATTAGGTTGGCAGGATCGAGGAAGGTGATGTCGAAGCTGAAGAAATCCATGTGAGAAGGAATTCCTGGCAATGGAAATAGCATGTGCAAAGGCCCTGAGACAGGAGTGCGCTTGGCGTGTTGGAGGTAGTGTATCTGGACTGGAGTGAGGGGAAGAGTGGGAAGAGGGCAGGTAGAAGAAGCAAGCACGGGGCAGATTCTGGAGAGACTTGTGGCCAATGGTTATGAGTCAAGATTTTGTTCTCAGCTGTGGAAAGCCAATGGAGGGTTTTCAGCATGGGTGGTATATGATCTGATTTCCATGGAAACCCCAGCTTTGGAGTGGGGTGTGCCTGCCTTCAAAACAAAATCAAGAACTGCCATTTCAGAATGTGGCATTCACCCATCAGCATATTTGGGGCCCACACGGTCCCTGGTTTAGCCCTTTGGAGGGACACCCACCACCTTCCGCCTCCTGTATCCTGGGTCCTTCATCTAACAGAGAAATATTTATCAATGCCAATTACATGCTTGATTTTTCAAGATTGAGAGCTTTAAACCCAATGAACGGGTACACCAGTGAGAGAGGACATGGTATCTTTCAAGGGAAATGTTTGAGCATCTACTTTGTGCCTGGCCCTGCGCTGGACACTGTAGACCCAGCAGTGACAAAGACAGATACGGTCCCTGCCCTTCTGGAGCTCAGATGACAATAAGGCTGTGATGGGAAAAGGAAATGAGACTATGGGAGCCCAGAGGAGCTGCCTGACCGCACCCAGAGGTTCAAGGACATGTATTAGAGTCTTTCGGTAGCAAGTGACAGTAATGCAGCTTAAAAAGTGAGCATTTGTTGAGGCATATAGCTGGGAGGGAGACAATTAAGGGTAAAACTACAAAGGGACTTTCCTGAGGGACTGGAAACCAGACTCAACTCCACCAAGACACTCTCCTGCTCATTTCTCTCCTCTGCTTCTTTCAGTTCAGACTCATTCCCTTCAACTGCATGTGCTAGGAAAATGGCCATTTATTTACAGACACAGACTCAATCCTTCCAGCACCATAGCCAAGCGGGAAAAAGGCAAGATCTCCTAAATGAAAAAGATCCCAGGGAAGGGCTCTGATTGGCCTGACTGGGGTCACATGCCACCTCTGCACTGGTTGTGGCATCCAAGGGAATGAAACACTTCGATCGGCCAGATGGGGGTTAGTTTAGCCCTCAGTACGCAGATGTCCAGAATTGGGCGGCCTAGTGGAGGGGGGTGGCAAAAAAAAAAAAAATTAGGTTGAACCATATGAAATTGCCAGTTTTATAGGTCAGAAATGACAGAATATTGGCAATTTCATATGGTTGAACCTAAATACAGAAAATTTCAGATGGGAAAGCTTGTTGGGCCTACGAAAGCAATAGAGACACCACTGGACCACTCAGAAAAGTGTTTGGAGGAGGAGGTGATATTAGCCAAGACATAGGAGATGAGTGGAAATCCGCCAGGTGAAGATGTGGTGGTGGTGGGAGGGTGGTGGGGCATGTCCCAAGTGGAGGGGACAGCTGTGCAAAGGCTGTCTGTCATGAAGGAGGACCAGGGAAGGTTTGTTACTGTGATCTAGAGATGGAGTGCTCTGACTGAGCCAACCTGAGTCACATGTCCAGTCACATGGGGGATTGGGAAAGGGAGCTTTGCTTCGCTTCTCCAAGCAGAGATTTGCAATCTCATTTCCATTACGGCACTCATATTGAAGAGGGTCATATGGCTGAACTCAGACATTGCATATTATGATTCGAATTTGTATTATCAAATATTAATTGACTACTTTCTCTGGGTTCTGTGCTGGGTATACAAAGATGAATTTCCTACTCTTTTGTTTTACCTTCCTGAGAAGGATAGCTTCATCTTCTAGGCTTGTTGCCTCATGGTCACAAAATGGCTACCACAGCTCCAGTTCTCGCATCCTCATACCAATGAGTTAAGCAGGAAGGAAGGGAACAAATGAAAGTTTTCTTCATATCAGGGAAGAAAAAATTCTAAAATAATAAGAGTAATAGCAATGAACACATATATAGGGCTTAACCTGTTTCAAAAATTGTTTTAAATTTTCTGCATAAATTAACTCACTTAAGAAGCTCTTTAGTTGTATGGCCATTCCAAATCACAAGTGTGGGGAAGCAGGCATCAGGCAAGGGGGAAAGAAATTCATAACCTGGGCTGGGAACCTTGCTGTCCCCAACTAAACTGGAGTTCTGTCACTCACAAACTGTATAATTCTGTGGGATCGTGTGTAATTTCTAGTGTGTGGCCTTTGTCTCCTAATTGAGAAAACAAAGTAGAATGCAAAGTAGTGAGAGTTATAGGACTATGGGGATGATTTTGAAACCTCTGTAATTTGACAAAAGCTCAACCATTCAGAAACTTCAGTGGGTTACTCTTGGTAATAAATTTCTTGTGACATGCCTCACAATGAATTATGATGGGCTGGTAGCTGTCACACTTTTCCAACCATCTATGCTTCATTTAAAAACAAACTTAGTGGCATAAAACAAAAATTATTTTATTATGCTCCCAGATTCCATGGGTCAGGGACTTGCTCATGTCACAGTGAGGATGGCTTGCCTTTGCCCCAGCTGAGAGCTGGGATCATCTGGACATTTCTTCACTCACGTGTCTGGTCACTGAGCTGGGATGACTACAAAGCTGAATTCAGTTGGGATTGTCAAGTGAAGTATGTACATATGGCCTCTCCACGTGGTTTGAGTTTCTTGCAGTGTAGCAGTTGGGTTGCAAGAGGGAGAGTTTGAGAATGCATCTTCTGAGAGAGCTAGGTGAACTTGGTGTTGGAGGTCACAAGGCTTGACTTCCATTGCACTCTATTGGTTGAAGAAGTCACAAGTCCAGTTTTAATGAGTGGGGAACATCGACTCCACCTCTCGAAGGGAGGATGTCAAGAGTTGGTGGCCACTTTTTAAAAACCACAACGCGTACCATGCATGAGCTGGAGATGCCAGCAAGTTGTTTAACAACTGGCATTGCTAGAATCGGAATGCACACTGGCCGCACATTGGAGAATATCCTGAAACGTACCCCTCCCTCCTGCTCCCTCTGTTTCAGGTACTAATTCTTTCATTTCTCAATTTTGGGGAGGTCTAGAAGATTCAAAGGGAGGGCGGGGGGAGTTTGCTTAGGGGGATCTTGGGGAAATAGCTATTTGCCAACTGGTATGAAAGTATTTCAACATTTTAACAACAGAAACAGTGCTACTATGGGAGACCCACTGGATATCAGTCCTGCAAGACCTTTACAACCTTGGAACCTCCATGTGCCATTTAAGGCTGCTCCCTAGGTCCATTTCCCACTTTCTCTGCTTGTAGAGCTCTATATTTATTCAGGTATTCACTCTCCCTGGAAAACATCTTCCCTAGCCTCGGAGGTGGAGTTTGATTAATCTAACCCTATCTTTGCAATTATATCTTCCTTACCAGTGATTGGGTTAGACTTGGGCATGTTACTAAATTCTAGCCAATGAGACAAGCATGTACATCCAACAGGGAGTTTCTCTGAAAGGTTTTCCTTGCTTCTAAGAACTGTGGAAGAATCAAAGCCCTAAACATTGTGAACCAGAAGCAAGCTATCCACACTAAGTCTTGTCCAAATTCATGACCGACAGAATCTGTGAGCATAATAAAATGGTTGTTGTTTTATTCCATTAAGCTTGGGGGTGATTTGTTGTGATTTGGAGGATACTGTCTGTGTGTGACAGCTGTAGCTGTAGCTGCCATCTTGAGACCGTGAGGTAGCCAGAGTAAGAATCAGTCAGCAGAAATAGAACCCAGTTCCTCAATGATATTATTGAATGAATGAATGAATGAATGAGAACTTCCTTTCCTGCCAACTGACTTTTTTATGTGTGATAATAAACTCATTTTTGTTCTATTTAATGTAAGTTTGGTTTCTGATACTTATTATGGGATAAAGCATTCTGATTGATATAGATCTCCATCTGTCCTAGGTATACATGGAAAAGAGAGCTATGCAGTTCACAGGTAGGGGGAGACAGAGAGACATATAAACATGTGCGTATATACATACACATTTGCACGCACATGGGCATGAATATGCATTATACACCTTCAGTTAGATTCGGGTTCAGGCAGACACTCACTTGAATACACATACATATACAGTCACAGAAGTCAGGCACACTCAAATACATACAACCAGTCACAAATTTGGCCTCCACCACACAGACCTTCATGCTCAGTCACAGACAGTCACAAACACACACTCAAGAATTTACTAATCACAGAAGATTCCAATTCCTTATTGTTTATTGGAACACATTATATAAAAGTAGAAAAATAAATATTTCATTTAGTCCTGAGTCAGGGCTGCAGCTCCATAAATAAGGGGTGAGAGGAAATAATTTAAGGCAGGGGTGGGACTTAGTGCATAAATAAGGTCTGGGATCCCAGATGAGCTGGGGGTGGGTCTAGGTTCTCAGACACATAGATCTTCCCTGGCGACACACTTCAGATCTCTTGTAAGGAGGCGGAAGAGGTTGAATGTGACAGTAGATTCGAGGCAGTCTTGAGACACCTGTGAGAGAGATCGGAATGCGGTTTCCCATTGCTCGGGCATCAGCCTCCTTCCTTACCCAGAGCCCAGGCATCCATCCTTCTCATGGTAACTCACTTTCTTTGGGGCCTTCTGGAGCCGGTGCAGCCAGTGGTGGAGGCGGCCATGGGGCCTGGGACTTGCTGTGGGCTGAGGTGAGACCTGTGGGCAGAGGAGGGTGGTGTGTGAGGCAGGCCCTAGGACAGAGGGGTGAGGTCTCATATGCTCAGAGCCCACAGACATGGCCTGGTGCCCCGAGCACTCACGCAGGCCTGGAGTTCAGAGTGGATGTGGCGCAGTGTATGAAGGGGCTGGTCCAGGATGTCTCCCAGGGATGAGTCAGCCTTGGTCTCTAGGACCTTTAGTGTCAGGGCCAGTTCAGCCTCCAAAGCCATGGGGCGCTCCCATACCTGAGGAGAAATGAGAAAGAACAGGTGAGGAGGCAGGTGAGGTAGAAAGGTGAGGAAAGATAGGCAAGAAGGCCTAGTTAGTGGGGATAGGTAGAGAGTACAAGGAAGGAGGGCAGGGGATGGGTCACGTAATGGGGAACATATAAGGAAGGATGCAGATGAAGAGGATACAGGTGAGGAGGAAAAATAAGGGAGGAAACAGGTGAGGAGACAGGTGAGAAAATGAAATGGGGACAAGTGAAAGATGATTCATGGGATCACAGAGGTTTGAGAGGCAGGGTATAAAGATGGGTGAGAAGAAAACAGGTTAGGGAGGCAGGTGAGTGAGGGACAGTTAGATGAATAAGTGAGAAGCATTGGTGAAGGAGGAGTATATGCTAGGAGAAGATCAGTGGAAGAAAGATGATGAGGGCCATAGGTGAGAGTCAGTGGTAAGGAGGTCAGTTGAGAGGGGAAGTGGTCATCACTATTGAGAGTAGACAGTGACAAGCTGGGTGGGGAAGGGGCACAGGTGGAGGACAGACCCAGGAGAGAAAAGAAGAGAGAAATGAGAAGGAACTAGGTAAGAGTGGAGGTGAGAGGGACAGGCAGAAAGATGATAAAAGGGACTCATGGCGGGGACAGAGTCAAAGGAGCATTTGAAGCGGGACAAGGGCACAGGACAGGTGAGGAGACACCAGAGAGAAGGGAAAGACAGGTGAGATAAAGGAGGTGAGGGGCCACTTAAGGAGACAGAAAGAGCGGGCAGGTGAGGGTAAGGGTGACCTCAGTTCTAACTCACTTGCAGCTCTGTCAGTTTCCAGTTCCTGGGGAAGAGTGAGAAGCTGCAGCTCTGGTTTTTCAGTGAATTTTCCTAGAGAGCAAGAGCAGACGTTATCCCACAGTATGAAGCTAGCCCATAGGATCAAGGATGAAGGTCTAACAGGAGAACTTGACTTTAATACACAGCAGAAAGGATAGAGATTAACTGCAGCTGAAAAGCTGGAAGCTAGGAGGTGGCTCCATAGTTCAGCGATTAGCACGTTTGCTTTACACACAGAAGGTCCTGGGTTCCCGCCCCAGATAGAGCCACGGACCATACCCCAGTGCGCCAGGCCCCAGGGGTGCCGTGAGCACCTGAGAGGAGATGCCCTGCCTTCAGAGATCCAGTTCTTAAGGGGAGATGGCAACATCCATAGGTCAGGAGTGGAAGTGGGGGGTAGGAATTAAAGAGGGGGGAAAAAAAAAGAAAAGCTGGAAGCTAGCCCATAACAGGAGGATAGAGGTTAGCCCACAGTAGCAGAGTAGCAGATTGGCCAAGGCAGGAAGGGTAGGGGTTAGTCTATAATAGTAGGTGCTCACAGATCCAAGATGGTGGTAGAATAAGAGGATGCTGAACCCTCCCCCTCCCAGAAACACACTGAAATATACACATATATAGAGAGAATTACTCTTGAGAGACAACTGAGGGCTAAATGAGCAGCTCCTGAACAACAAACGACAGAAAGAGACCAAACAGAGAAGGCTGGGAAACCGTAGGAGCTCTCTGGGAGCTGTGGGAACTCTCTGGGATCGGAGGCGCCAGTGAGTGCCATTGTTTATGTCCCTCTCCACCTCGGTAGGACAGGCGGGAGCTTCATTCGGGTGATCTGGCCTACCTACAAGGTTGCTGCAACATGTTCCCATTCACACTATCTGGACCCCATTTTGGCTCTGAACAAAGAGAGCAAGCGGGATCCACAGGGCATTACCACACATATCTTGCCCCTCACCTGGAACAGCTCCAGCTCAGTAGGCTAGTGCCCTGCATGCCATAGCCACCTGCTTGTCTCCAACTGGTCTGCTAAAACCACAAGGCACAGACAGCCTATGCAGAGGTAGCTTCTACACAAGGCCATTTTTTCAAGACTGGGAATAATAGCTATTTTGTCTAATTCATATAAGCACAAAAAGTCAAACAAAATGAAAAGACAGAAGAAGGAACAAGAAAAATCTCAAATGAAGGAACAAGAAAAATTCCCAGGAAAATAATGTAAGGAAATGGAGATAAGCAATTTGCCTGGTAAAGAACTGAAAGAAACAGTCATAAGGATGCTCACCAAACTTGAGAGTGGAATAGAGGAACTTAGGGAGAACTTCAACTGAGTTAGAAAATATAATAAAGAACCAAGCAGAGCTGAAGAATACAGTAACCAAAAAGAAAAATACACTAATAGGAATCAATATCAAATTAGCTAATGCAAAAGAATGGATCAGTGACCTGGAAGACAAGACTAGTGGAAATCAACCAATAGAAAGAGCAAAAAGAAAAAAATAAAATAATAAAATAAATAATAAAAAAACTCACCGAGGATAGTTTAAGAGACCTCTGGGACAGCATAAAAGCCAAAAACATTGGCATTATCAGGATACCAAAAGGAGAAGAAAGGGAGAAAGGAACAGAAATTTTATTTGAAAAAATCATAGCTAAAAAATTTCCTGACCTGGGAAAGGAAACAGACATCCAAGCCCAGGAAGCAGAGAGAGTTCTAAATGAGAGGAACCCACTGAGACCCACACCAAGACATATTGTAATTAAAATGGCAAAATTAAAGATAGATAGACAATTTTGAAGCCAGCAAGAGGAAGACAACTAGTTACATACAAAAGAAATGCCATAAGGCTATCAACTGATTCCTCAGCAGCAACTTTACAGGCCAGAGAAAGTGGCAGGACATCTTTAGAGTGCTGAGAGAAGAGAACCTACAATTTAGAATAACTTACTTGTCAAGGTTATCATTCAGAATTGAAGGAGAGATAGAGTTTCCTGGACAAACAAAAACTAAAAGATTTCATCACCGTTAAACCAGTTTTTCAAGAAATGTTAAGGACTTTTCTTTAAGCAGAAAAGGAAAGGCCATAACTAGGAATAAGAAAATATAAGAAAAGAAAAATATCTCATAGGTAAAGTCAAATATTTGATAAATACCATGAATTATGTCAATTCAAGAAGAGGATATAACAATCATAAAAATCTGCACACCCAAGATAGGAGCACCTAGATATATAAAGCAAATACTAATGGACATAAAGGGAGAAAATCACATTAATAGACAGATCATCCAGATAGAAAATTTATAAGGAAATAATGGCCTTAAATATCACATTAGAGCAGAGCTACTTAACAGGCATTTATACACTATTTAATCCAAAAGCTGCAGAATACATATTTTTTTCCCAAGTGCACATGAAACATTCTCCAGGATAGATCACATATTAGGCCACTAAACAAGCCTCAATAAGTTCAAGAAAATTGAAATCATATCAAGCATCTTTTCCGACCACGCTGGCATGAAACTAGAAATCAACGACAGGAAGAAAATTGGAAAAAACACAAATATGTGGAGATTAAACTACATTCTCCTACACAACCAATGGATCGAAGAGGAAATCACTTGATTTTAGCCAAAAAGTCGAGAAGTGATCAAAGAGGAAATCAAGCAGAAAATAAAAAATTACCTTGAGACAAATAAAAACGAAAACACAACTTTTCAAAATTTATAGTATGCAGCAAAAGCAGTTCTGAGAGAGAAGTTCATATCTATATGGGCTCACCTCAAGAAACAAGAAAAACCCCAAACAAACAACCTAACTTTATACCTGAATGAACTAGAAAAGGAAGAACAAACAAAATCTAAAGTAAACAGAAGGAAGGAAATAATTAAGATCAGAATGAAAATAAACAAAATAGAAATTAAAAACACAATAGCAAAGATTAATGAAACTAAGAGCCGGTTCATTAAAAAGATAAGTAGGATTGATAAGCCTTTAGCCAAATTCATCAAGAAAAAAAGAGAGAGGGCTCAAATCAATAAAAGAAGAGGTTATAACAGACAATACTATAAATAATTATATGCCAACAAATCTGACAATGTAAATGAAATGGATAAATTTCTAGAAGTATATAACCTTCTAAGACTGAACTGTGAAGAAAAAGAAAATCTACAAGACCGATTATTAGCAATGAAATTAAAGCAGTAATAATAATAATAAAAATAAAATCTCAACAAATAAAAGTCTAGGACGAAATGGCTTCAGAGTTGAATTTTACCAAATATTTAAACTGTTTCAAACAATTCAAGAGGAAGAAATGCTTCCAAACTCATTCTATGAGGCCAGCTTTACCCTGATATCAAAACCAGACAAGGACATTACAATAATAAAATTATAGGCCAATATCCTTGGTGAACATAGATGTAAAAAATTCTCAACAAAATATTAGTAAACTGGATACAACAATACATTAAAAGGATCATATACCATGACCAAGGGGATTTATCCCAGGGATACAAGGATGGTTCAACATTTGTAAATGAATACATTGCATTAACGAAAGAAAGGATAAAAACCATAGGATCATCTCATAGGTGGAGAAAAAGCATTTGATAACATTTAATACCCTTTAAAGATACTAAGAGCTTAAAAACTCTCAACAAAGTGGGTGTAGAAGAAACATATCTCAACATAATAAAGGCTATATATGCTAAACCCACAGCTAATATACTCAATAGTGAAGGGCTGAAAGCTTCTCTCCTACCATCACGAACAAGATAAGAATGTCCACTATCACCACTTCTATTCAACATAGTATTGGATGTCCTAGCCACAGCAATCAGACAAGAAAAAGAAAAGGCTTCCACATTGGAATAGAAGAAGTAAAACTCTCATTATTTGCAGATGACATGATACTATATACGGAAAACCCTAAAGAATTCACCAAAAAACTATTAGTACTAATAAATGAATACGGTAAAGTTGTAGGACACAGAATCAATATGCAAAACTTTATTGTATTTCTATACATCAATAACAAATGATCAGAAGGAATACTTAATAATCCCATTTACAATGGCATCAAAAAGTATAAAATACCTAGGAATAAATTTAACCAAAGAGGTGAAAGACCTGTACTCAGAAAATTGTAAGACATCAAAGAAATAAATTGAAGAGGATACAAATAAGTAGAAGGATATATCACGCTCTTGGATTGGAAGGATTAATATTGTTAAATGTTTTTTATACCTAAAGCAATATACAGATTCTACGCAATCCATATTAAAATACCAGTGGCAAATGGTATTCTTCCCAGAACTAGAATAACTAAGCCTGAAACTTATATGGAATCACAAAAGATCCCAAACGGCCAAAGAAACCTTGAGTTAGAACAAAGCTGGAGGTATCATGCTTCCTGATTTCAAACTATACAACAAAACCACAGTAATCAAATTAGTATGTAGTGTGTACTAGCATAAAAATAGATATGTAGATCAATGGAATAGAATAGAGAGCCCAGGAATAAATCCTTACTTATATGGTCAATACATTTATGACAAAAGAAGCAAAGATATAAGCTGGAGTGAAGACAGTCTCTTCAATAAGTGGTGTTGGGAAAACTGGACAGATGCAAAAAAAATGAAATTAGACTACTTTTTTATACCATATACAAAAATAAACTCAACATGGATTAAAGACTTGAATGTAAGACCTGAAACCGTGAAACTCCTAGAAGAAAACATAGGCAGTAAACTCTTTGACACTGGTGTTGGCAATATCTTTTTAAATATATCCCCTTGGGCAAGGGCAACAAAAGAAAAAATAAACAAATGGAGTTGTATCAAACTAAAAAGTTTTGCACAGTGAAGGAAATCATCAATAAAATGAAAAGACAACCTACTAAATGGGAGAAAATATTTGTAAATGATACATTCAATAAAGGGTTAATATCCAAAATATACAGAGAACTCATACAATTTAACACCAAAACAAAACAAAAGCAAAAACAAAAAACACCAAAACAATCCAATTAAAAAATAGACAGAGGACCTGAATAGACAGTTCTCCAAAGAGGACATACAGATGGCCAACATCTGTATGAAAAGATGCTCACCATCACTCATCATCAGGGAGTTACAAACTAAAACCACAATGAGATATCACCACATACCTATCAGAGTGGCTAGCATCAAACGATCAACAAATAACAAGTGCTGACAAAGATGTGGAGAAAAGGGAACCCTCATGCACTGTTGATGATATTGTAAGTTAGTGCAGCTGCTATGGAAAACGAATAAAGATTTCTCAAAAAATTAAAAATAGAACTACCTTTTGACCCAGCAATTCCACTTCTGCATCTTTATCCAAAGAAAACGAAAACCCTCTTTGAAAAGATATATGCATCCCTGTGTTCATTGCAGCGTTACTTACAACAGCCAAGGTGTGGAAGCAACCTAGATGTTCATAGATAGTTGAATGGATAGTGAAATAATACTTCTCTCCCTGAGTTTAGAAACATAAGATGTTCACTATTATCACTTCTATTCAACATACCTTGAGGTTCTAGTTAGTTTAATAAGGTAAGATAAATAAGAGGTATAAAGAGTGGAAAGGAAGAATAAAATTTTCACTTGCATTAGATATGTCTATATATGGAGAAAAACTAAAAGAATCCATGACAAACTATTAGAGTTAGTAAGGAAATTTAACAAGAAAGTTAACTGCAAGGCCAAAAAAAAAGTTCTCATCTCAAGAAAACAATTCTGACAGATGTTAACTAGACATTGTGGTGGTTATTTAGCAATATATACAAGTACCAAATCATTATGTCATACGCCTCAAACTATTATAATGTTGTAAGTCAATTATACTTCAATCGAAGTAAAAAAAAAACCACACAAAATAATTACTCACCAAAGCGTCCTTGGCTTTCTTGAAGGCCTTCCACTCCGTTGGTGGCAGAGATTTGAACTTGCCAATGTTGCAACTCCTTCCAGCTGAGGTGGGCATGGAAGTGGGAACAGGGCTTGCTCCGGCCAAGCCCAGCCCCGCAGCCACCAGCACAAGCACCAGGCACCAGGCTACAGCCATCGCCAAATCGCAACTGCTTCCCTGGCTGCATGGCTTGGCTTTTTAACCAAGCTAAATGAACAATCCTGGATGATGTGTGTAAAGTGAAAAAGCAAGTGGAAATTTCGATTTCAAAAAGGTATGAGTTGGCGGGGCCAGCTGCTGATCCAGGTGATCTCACAGGTGTGGGTGTGGCCAGGTGAGCCCATAGCTCTAAGGAGAACAAAAGAGAAACTGAAATCAATCCCAGGAGGGAGCCTAAGACATCTCCGAGCCTCACTTAGGAGTCCCTGGGACTTTGGGAGAGTCCCTGATTGAGACTGTTTCAGGGAGAGGGATAGGCAACTGTCATAGCAGGGCAGGGGCTGGGCGGGGTGTACAGGGGTGAGGCTGCCTGGGTGGCAGAGAAGGCGCTTCCTTCACTGATTTAAGCCTGTTCCAGGAACTCACTCATTTCATGCTCTGAACATTTCTGTGAATACACTAAGATCTTACAAAAAGCCCTCCATAGGTTCTTGGAACCCATATAACGAATCAGTTTGACCAGAGCTAATTGATGTAAATACGAGTTATGTTCTTACTGTATATTTCTGGTCACAGAAACATCACTGAACTTGTCAATAAAGATATAAACACTTCTAATATTAAATGTTGAAATAAATGTGAGCTATACATACATTTTAGAAAAATTAATGAAAACAAGTAAGATGATGATTTTCCAGCCCGCTTTTCCAGGTCGAGGTTGAGAGTGGCCTCAGCTCGGGGTGGAAGGTGGTCCCCACCTTGGAAGGAACCCTTCATCACAGGGCCACCCCTACACACCCACAGTCACTCAGACTGGTACAATTTGGACGATTCACCTAATATGCATACCTTTGGGATGTGGGAGGAAATCGAAGTCCCGGGAGAAAACCCACGCAGACGTGGGGAAAGCGTGCAAACGCCACACAGACAGCGCTCCCAGTAGAAAATCGATTTTTTCCCCCTCATCACGTTATTATAAAATGACGTCATTCGGGGGATCTGCCGTAGTTATTTTTATGAACATCCTCATTTTACCAGTGAGAAAACAGAGGCACAGGAAGGCAAAGTGGCTTGCCTAAGGTCCCACAGCTGGTTAATGGCACAGCTGGCATTTGAAGGGAGTCCTGTGTGCATACATCTTATTCTATACTCTGCCCAAGTCGAAGCTGGGAACCTCTGGGAGTCCCAGACACCCAGCTCTCCTTTCTCTCCCTCTGGGTAGCACGACAGGGTAGGGAGCACCTCATTTGCTGGGGGCAGGAGAGGCTGCTGCCTGGGGCGAAGGCGGTGAGGAAGGCTTCCAGCAGGCAGGCAGAGTCTGGTTGCTTTGCTATCCTCCCCACAACTACCATGCGCGGTAATATTTGCGTAGCCTCTAGGGAATTGCTCTGACGTGCGGGCCCTTCATATTTTTCATTACTTTATTTTTTTTCTTGGCCTTTAGGTGCAGAAGTTATTAATCACACTTTTCAGATTATAACAGAATCACAATTGGCCCTTGAAGACCCTCTAAGGTTTTACCTGCCCCTCCCCCATGCCCAATCCCCACTCCCGCCCCTCCCCCTCACAGGCACCCACTGTAATACACTTGATATATAGCTATGAAGAAGTATCTTTATAATTTGTGATTTCGTACATGTATATTTTCAATTTGCATAAATGGGATTGCGCTATAAATCTTGTTCTATTTCTTCCTTTTTTTTTTTAAAGCTTAACCATACATTTCTGAGATGATCGATGGTGGTGCGCCTCAAGTTCCTGGCTTCTAACTGCCGCGTTGTAGTCCATGCTGTGCCCACAGCACTTTCACTTGTCTTATTTGTTCTTATTTTGTCCCCAGGGATGGACACTTAGGCTGCCTCTAGCTCGCCATCCCTGTAAGGCTCACCCATGTCCACTCTGCGAGAGGTTTTCTAGGGCTCCAGCTGGTGACCTCACCATGTCCCCTCAGCTCACTTTTTTCGCTCACATGTAGATATGGAGGGTGGTTCCCATGCGTGTTGACGGCGTCCTGCCTCATGCACGGATATCATTCTGCTTCTCCACCGAGCTCTTTCTCCGGTCTGCACGCAGAACAGATTTCAAGGCCGGGGTTAATTCCTCAGGGCAATCCTCAACCAGTGAGGATGGGGAGCTAGTGAATACATACTCTGTTTCTCTTCGTCAGTGAGTCTGAGACAGGAGGACAACTTTCTGTTGTGGGGTAGTCAGAGAGGTCAGGGCTGGAGCCTGGGAAGTTTCACAATATTCATCCTAAGGCACCAGGGACCAACATCAAGGAGTCCTGGGAGGCTTACCAGCAACAAGGGCCTGTCGTCATCACCATGCATGCACAGTAAGGTTCAAGAACGTCCCTAAGATGACCTTCCCCTAATTTAAATACTAAAAATCCCGCCCAAGAGTGGAGACTTACTATGCTAATGAGACACTCCAGGCAAAAAGCAGCACGTAGTCACACTGCGCTGGTGCTAAGAAACACCTGCCTTTACATGCCTACACGTCACTTTTACCCCGCCCCCACCTAGCTCCCTTTAAAACCCTGCCTCAATTTCTCTCTGGGAGCCACCCAAACCTTTCTTTCCTTTCTCTGTGTTGGTTTCCTTGCGCACAAGCTTAATAAACCTTTATCTCTTGCCTGCACTTTCTCGCAGTCATCCCTGTTGGTTTCCGTCCTGAGAGATCACCAAGAACCCAGGACACCGGTGACAGGTCAGTTCTGAAATGTGTTCTACATGATTCCTCATGTGCTTGGAGGGTCCCTGGTGAGCGTGAGCTCCATCTAGTAGCTTATAGCAGTAACCCCTTTAGGTCAGGGGTTAGGATGAGGAAGCCGAGGTGCGCAGGGTGCAGAATTTAAGGAGGCACTCAGTCTCGGGTTCAGGCAGGTACCCTAGGTACCACACCTGCCTCACTCTGGTCCAGACTCTGCACCATTTATTGGCTTTTTTCTCTTCCAGTCCCAATTTCCCCACTTGCTTGTGCTTCCTGGGGACACCTCCCAAATAAACCACTGGTACCCTTGGCTCAGGGCATGATTTTGGGAGACTCCAAACTAAGACATAGTCAGGAGTAGGATTCCTGGGCCACAGAACATACTCGTACTTATATTGTCTAGTCAGTGCTGTTCAATAGAACTTTCTGCGGTGATGGAGGTGTTCTATATCAGCACTGTCCAGTATAGTAGTCGCTGACCACACGTGACTGGTGAGTACTTAAAATCTGGCTAGTCCAGAAGGAAAGCCTCTTCAATAAATGGTGCTGGGAAAACTGGAAAGCCACCTGCAAAAGAATGAAACTAGACTGTTGTCTATCACACCAAAATTAATTCAAAATGGATTAAGGACCTAAATATAAGACCTGAAACAATAAAATGCATAGAAGAAAACATAGAAACTAAGCTCAAGGACCTTGGACTTAAAGAGGATTTTATGAATTTGACCTCAAAAGCAAGGGAAAAAGCTTCTGCTCAGCAAAAGAAATCATCAACAAAGTAAAGAGACAACCATCTGAATGGGAAAATATATTTGCAAACAACACCTCCAAAAAGAGTCTAATATCTAAAATATACAAAGAACCCATACAACTCAACAACAACAACAAAACAAATGATCCAATTAAAAATGGGCAGAGGACCTGAACAGACACTTCTCCCTAGAGGACATACAAATGGCCAACTAATATATGAAAAGATGCTCAACATCGCTAGCTATTAGGGAAATGCAAATCAAAACCACAATGAGATATCATCTCACACCTGTTAGAATAGCTGTAATCAACAGGACAAGTAATAACAAATGTTGGAGAGGATGTGGAGAAAAAGGAAGCCTCATACACTGCGGTGGGGCTGTAAATTGGTACAGCCTCTATGGAAAACAGTATGGAGGCTCCTCAAAAAACTAAGAATCCATCTACCATATGATCCAGCAAGCCCTCTACTGGGCATTTACCCCAAAGACTTGAAAGCCTAGATCCGAAAAGATATTTGCACGCCGATGTTCATTGCAGCATTATTCACAGTGGCCAGGACATGGAAGCAACTGAAGTGTCTTACGATAGGTGATTGGCTAAAGAAGCTGTGGTACATATATACAATGGAATATTACTCAGCCATAAGAAGAGATGAAATACTGCCATTTGCGACAACATGGATGGAGTGTGATAATCATGCTAAGCGAAATAAGCCAGACAGAAAAGTTGAAAATTATATGATATCACTTACATTTGGGCTATATACCTAAAAGTAACAAATGAGCAGGACAAACAGAGACTCATGGACATGGACTATAGACTAGTGTTTACTAGTGGGATGGGGGAGGAGGGTGGAGGTAGATGGGGTAAAGGGGGTCAAATATAGGGGGATAAGGGGAGGACGAAGTGTGTAAAGGGGATCAAATATATGGTAGCTGAAGGAAACTGGACTTTGGGTGGTAAACACACAGTAGAATATACAGATGTCAAATGATAATGTACACCTGAAAATTATATAATTGTATTAACCAATGTTACCCCAATAAACTTAATTAAAAAAAATTTGGCTAGTCCAATGGAGGAATTGAATTTTCATTTTCTTTTATTTTTCTTTAATTTAAAGTTAATTGCTATATGTGGCTGGTGGCCACCATAATGGGCAGTGCAGTCCTCAGTACTCACATATTGCTCTCTCAAATAGTCGCATCTGCTCCCCTCACCCGGAAGTGTGCGGTATCTCCACCAGATTGTGGCCTCCTCAACCTATGGATCTGGTTTACAAGATGTGGTCCTGGACCTTGACTGTGAGCCAGATGCAAAACAGATGAGACTTTTGAGATGTAGAAAGAGATAAGTGAATTTTGCATGTGAAAGGAATGTAAGTACTTTGTGGCCAGAGGGTGGGCAGTAGTAATTTAAAAATAAGTCTTTAAAGTCTTTGGCCCCTTCCCTCACAGAGAAGTGGCTCTATCCCCTTCCCTTGAATCTGGACTGGCTCTACTGGCTCTTGTCTAACTATAGAAGCTGCATGACCTCTGAAGCTCAGT